AAGGCTAGCTTGATCAGAAGCCCATGACGCGAATCCCGAGATCACATGGCCGGGTCCTCACCGTGACGGCGGAGCATTCTGCTTTTAATTAAGAGACAGCAAGTGTGCACGCGAGCGTGTGTAACGTAATCATGCCGTCATTTGTAGACCCTCAACGTATTAGCTTAAGACATGGAACTATGCTGGTTGAAGCTCGCACAGGGATTCTGCACGTGAGGCTATAATGCTACACCCGTACGATCGCCCATATGTGGTGGTATTTTAGACTACCGATCTGGCGCAATCCACATGTTTGCGTGCCTGTTTTTTTTTTTGTTTTTTTTTTGTGTGCGCATGTTTTGCTGTTTTGTTTATTTTTGAGCTTCGCTGGTGCTCCAAGGCAACGCGAAAGTGGCTGACGATTTTCTTGAAAATCATATTGCCTCTTTTTTATTCGTTGGGAGACATTTGATTTATCATTCTCTTTTTAATGTTGACATTAGGCTTCAGGCTGAGTTCGGAGCGTCGTGTCTGCCAGATTCCTTTTGTCTTCTTGCTAGAGCTGTCATGTCTAAGCAATCTCTACCACATTGGTTTTTTGGATATCCGGCAAGCAGATACCAGCAGAGACAAACGAAAGAATTCGAGCGCCCTTCCCCCGCACGGCGTGGGGGGGGGGGGGGGGGGGGGGGGGGGGGGGGGGGGGGGGGGGTGAAGGAAGGCGCACGCACCGACGGCCTCGAAGCCGGAATGCTTACAAGGTCGCTCGGCCTGGTGCAAGACCTCTATCTTTCCTGGGAAAGGGTGAGAGAGGGTGATGAGAGGACAGATCCCCACCCGTTTTCCCCACACTGCCCTACACCATCACCAATATCTCCAAATCTCTTTGTAAGCGGACTCGGCGTCCTTGAGGCGGAACTCCCTTCATTTTTGGGCTGATAGTGCCGGGCGAGCTAAGCGCCCACCGGACCAGTTACCACCTGCCCCGCTCTCTGCGCGTGGTTACAGGAGGGAGCGTGATCACGTGATTATGGACAGACGTGCGATTAGTTCACCGGGCACCCCTTAGCTTCCTCTACGCTTTCAGCTTAGGAGTGACGGAGCCCAACCCGCAAGACACACACGCTGTAAAAAAAAAAAAAAAAGAAGAAGAAGGTGTTGAAGCGGCGCGCAGCAAAACGCCGTCGAGGCGAGATCTCTTTGCTCTGGCGGCATTTCGCCATCGGAGCGGCGGAGGGAGACGAAAGCCGGTGCACTCAGCTCGCGGACGAACACGTCCGTCACGTGATGTTTACTGGCCGCAGCATCGACACCGCTGCGTGCGCTCGGTCGCGCGGGAACCACCACAGGCGGTCCGGATGACAGCCCTTCCATGACTTCGCTGTTGCCGCTATCACCTGTCACCATTCAACCGCACTTAAAAGGTAAGTAGATCATTTTCGCATGCGCCTTTTAGAGGTAATCGAAGTGCAGAAGGAATGAAAGACGCGTAACTTAACGCGATAGCGCGTGTTGTGTCAGGAAACGCGCTCAACCTTGTTGCTTCCGCTTTCCCCACTCAGTCGCACGAGGTCAACGCTTCCTCGCATCAGACTCGACTCGATTGACGTGTGCAGGAAAAGGGCTCATTGCCATGGGAGTTTGGTTTGTTCTGGTTTCTCCGAACACTTCCTGTTCGTACCTTTTCGCTTTCCGGCGCCGTAAGAAGAACAGAAGAATGAAAAACACTGAACCGCGCTCGTTGAATAATTATAATGGGCGCTCTCGCGTGCTGAAATTTAAGAGAGCATGTCATATTTTCTTTAGTATATATATATATATATATATAATATTTATTAAACAAAAAGTTATTGTCTTAGGCAGTGGTGTGTTCGTTTCACATCGCGCATCCCCGCTCCGCGAGTGCGGCCACCGGACGGCCATGTTACATGTCGAAAAATTGCCTATTTGGAGCGTTGCGGATGCTGGCGGCAGCGTGCTGAAGATACGTGTTCTACTCGTTCGTCGGTATTCGCCGAAGAAGTTATTTAAAACCCTGTGTAAGCCGTGAGACTTGCCGTTGAGAACACGTGAAAAGTTTTACGGAAGCGCAGTGCGCAAGGGAAAAGACGCAACTCGTCGAGATCAAGTTGACCGCGGCGTGATCAAAGCTTCCTTGGCACGCCGAAGCGCTGCGTCTCTCTGCCTTCGCGCGCTTGGATACCGATCAAGAATCGGCGCCGCGGCAAAGTTTTGAAGGTGTGTCGCGCGTATATGTCATTGCATCATATATCGGGCACGGAGTTCTGGGTCGTCCAGCTGTTCCGGCGAGTTGCTATGAATAAAGGGGGAAAGCAATATGGGGACGGTTGCTCTTATGCACTATTAACCATGGCTATTATCCAAGTTCCATATCTGCTCTAATGAATCACATGGCAGCACAAATAGAGCAACGCTGCGGAGCAAGTTTGGTTTTTGAAGGCAAACCTACAAGACAGCGAGAATTAAAATTTTTGAAGCGCGACCCATACGGTCGTGTGCAGTCCCTTGGCCAATCCCAATTAGGCGAGTCGCGCTCAAGCGTCAAGTGCAATAAAGTAGGTTTATAATGAGTCAGCACTGATCATTATAAACCTACTGAGGAGCTGTTGTGGACAATATTCTGTAAACCGTCTAACGACGAAAAAAAGACGTGCTGAGTGCGACACAATTTGTGCGAACAAGTGATCGCTGGTTTTTCCAGTTTTTCTCTTTGAAACCAAGGGATGTCATCCAAGTTATTATTGCTACGGAAAGAGCTCATATAATGTAAGCCAAAACATTTTGTGTTCGCTAATACTATTTGGAAGTAAAATGTGCCGATGTCGTGTTCGCGCTAACAATGTGTGTAC